CCTGGAGGGTGCCTGGATGATCGCGCTGCATCTGCCTGCGTAGGAAGAAAAAGTAAAGAGAAAACGCACAGAAAGGGAGACGTTCTACAAACCACGCACGCAGTAAGGGTCTAGTGTACAGACAATGTAAACTGTTCTTGACACAACTCGACCCTAAAAAGACAACTCAAGAATGGAAAGAATGAGGATGAGGGCTTCAGGCAAAGTGTGGGAAAGGGCCCGGGCCCTGACCTTGCGGTCGCGCCTCCCCAGAAACACAGTGGACGCCCAGTCTCACGAGCTGCTGCTTGGGTCTGTCACGTGCAGCTGCACAGGCCCCTGACCGGTGACACCAGCTGCAGCAGAACCAGGCTACACTCAGCAGACAGAGATGACAACGGGTCCTACCGGCTCTACCTTCCAAATTCAGTGACTTCACAGTCTCCTGGCCTCTGCCCACACCCTGGCAGAGCCCACCCGCCTCACCCCGACACTGCAGGGGCTCCCCGCCGCTCCTGCCCACGCCTCCCTTCGCTTGTCCTCAGCCAGTGCCCAATGTGAAAAGGAACCTGAGTCATGCTAGTCCGAGACCGAATGTTCCAGTGGCCTCCTGTGTCTCTTGGAATAAACGCCAGTGTGTTTTTGCACCCACGAGGAAGGGCGTGGCCCTCCTCCTAGTCTCTGACCTCCCCTGCTAGGGAGCGTCTCCAGCTCCTGGGCTCAACCAAACTGACCACGGTGCTCTTCTCCAAGCAGGGGCTCTCTGGCCCTGGTTCCCGCCAGGAACACCTCCTCCAGACCTCACGGCTGGCTCCCCGACTTCGGGCAGCGACTCCCGGCCACCTCCTCAATGGGCACCCTCTCAGAACTGTCAACAGCGAGTTGACCCTGACATTGCCAGGTCCGCTTCCCTGCTCTGCTGCTCCTCCTTCATGTGTCACTAGCTAATACACAGTACGTCTTTATTCTCCCCTGTGTACGAGCTATGTCCCTCACTGCAATGAAAGCTCCGTGAGTGAAGAGTTTTATCAGTTCACTGCTGTGCTGTGGCATCTATGAGGAGAGTGCGTGACACACATGAGCTGGTCAGTAAATATTTATTGATAAGTAAATAATTAAAGTCGGGGGAAGAGGTGAGTCCGGTCTCAATATGGAGGGCCACAATCCAAAGGAACCAGAGCAGTTGACAAAACTGTTTATCGTTGGTTTGAGCTTTGAAAGTACAGATGATAGTTTATGAGAACACTGTAAGGAACAGGGCACTCTCGCAGACTGTGTGGTGATGAGCGACTCCCAAACGAAACGTTCCCGGGGCTTTGGTTTGTCACTTCCTCTTGTGTTGAGGCGGTGAGTGGGGCCACGTGCACTCGGCCACACAGGGTTGATGGCCATGTGGGGAACCAGAGAGCTGTTTCTAGAGAAGGTTCTGTTAAGCCCAGTGCCCATCTAACAGTGAAGAAAATTTTTGTTGGTGGTATTAAAGAAGATACAGAAGAGTGTAATTGGAGAGACTACTTTGAGAAGTACGGCAAAACTGAAACCGTACACGTTATGGAAGGCAGGCGGAGTGCTCCCAGCGCACTTTTGATGATCGTGATACAGTTAATAGAACTGTTGTTCAGAAATACCACACTATTAATGGGCATAATTGTGAAGTGAAAAAGGCCCTTTCTAAACAAGAAATGCAGTCTGCTGGATGGCAAAGAGGCCACAGGGGTGGATCTGGAAACTTTATGGGTTGTGGAGAAAATCTTGGTGGAAGAGGAGGTCGTGGTGGAGGTGGCAGCACAAGGTGGTCGTGGAGGAGGCAATGGTGGCAACTCTGGCAGTGGACCGGTTACAGTAGTACAGGAGGCTGTGGCAGTGGACCAGGACATGGAAACCAAGGTGGTGGACGTGGTGGTGCTGGAGGACATGCCGGTTACAACGAAGGGGGAATTTTGGTGGTAACTGCGGTGGTGGGAACTATAATGATTTGGAAATTACAGTGGACAACAGCAGTCAAATTATGGACCCGTGAAAGGAGGCAGTTTTGCTGGAAGAGGCTCGGGCAGCCCCTATGGTGGTGGTTATGGATCCGGTGGTGGGAGTGGTGGATATGGTAGCAGAAGGTTCTAAAAACTCAGCAGAAAAGGGCTACAGTTCTTAGCAGGAGAGAGAGCAAGGAGCTGTCAGGAAAGCTGCAGGTAACTTTGAGAGAGTTGTCCCACATGCATTAGAGAAACTATAAAAACCTCACAGAAGGAGCGATGATCCACAGTCAGAAAAGTTACTGCAGCTTAAACAGGAAACCCTTCTTGTTCAGGACTGTCATGGCCACAGTTTGCAGAGTGTGCAGCTATTGATTAATGCGATGTAGTGTCAATTAGATGTACATTCCCGAGGCCTTTTATCTGTTGTAGCTTTGTCTGTTTCTTTTTCTTTTTCATTACACCGGGCATATTGCCCTATAAATTGTGGTAGTGGTACCAGGAATAAAAAATTAAGAAATTTTTAACTTAAAAAAAAAATTTAAGCCCTGGCTGGTGGAGCTCAGTGGATTGAGCGCGGGCCTGCAAACCAGACAATCGCAGTTCGATTCCCAGTCAGGGCACATGCCTGGGTTGCAGGCTGGTTCCCAGCAGGCCAGTTCCCAGCAGGGGACGCCCAAAAGGCAACCATACATTGATGTTTCTCTCCCTCTCTCCTTCCCTTCCCCTCTAAAGATAAACAAATAAAATCTTTTTTAAAAAAATTTAAGTCAGGAACTATATCTGGAAGGAGAATGAGGCAGTGCCAAAGGCAAACGTCGACCGCCTCTCTGGCTCAGGCACGCCCTGCTCGCCAGTCCCATCAGGACCCCGGTGTCCTCCGTGCCAAGCCAACAGTGGGTCGTCAGACACTCGCAGGGAAGCCCGCGCGGGGACACTCCAGTTCCACACACAGACAGCAAGAGCCACAAAAACAGAACAGGAGCTTTCTAAACTACATTTGGCTGGTCTTACTTTGGGGAATGGATTTTTCAGCTAAAGAATCAGAATGGAAATGCCAAGATCCAACTTTGTAAGCAATGAGTTTGTTACTCAGAAATTTCTGAGTACCTGCTATCTTAACCACAGAGTACATAAAAATATTTGTATGCATTTTAGTTAAAAGAACTACAATTACGCCTACTGCAGTTGATTTCTGACCACGCTAGGTTTGAAAGGTTCGAAGAACCTTTCAAAATTACTATGTTGAAATACTTTTGTTTTTAAATAACTTAAAGTCTCGCTTCATATACGCACAGATTACTTCTGGAAAGAGAGTGTAAGCGCTTGCCTCTGGGAACAGTGCTAGGCACTCGGGAGAAAGGAACGGAGATGTTTAATTACTACCTTTTGAAATTTGAATCACATTAATGTATTGCTTAAGCAAAAATAATAGCTAAAACTCTAAAATAAGTCAACCATAATTACCTTAAAACAATGAAACAAAATCTACTTTGTCAAGCCAGCACTAGAAGGAAGTGTCTTTAACCCCACATTTTGAAGATAAGCGAATCCAGCAGGTTCTGTCAAAGTAGCACAAGAAACAGAGGCGGGTTCATTTTAACATGGAGGGAGTGTCTGACAAAGCCGCCAGGGGCAGCAGGATGACCCTACTCCCCCGCAAAGGCCTTTTTACACCAGACCCACAGTGTGTGAGCCCACAGGACAGCTGCCTCCTAGGGAGCAACTCCAGCGAGGCTGCAATAAAAATCCTAAGGCTTCTCCACCAACATCACTCTCCAAATCCACGTTTTCTAATTAAACTCTCAGAACACAGCAAGGACCCTCTCAGAAACGTAAAGAACAAGAAAACATTACAAAAAAGAGAATGAGTCTTAACAGAGTGAGCTTCTTAAAGGGGCTGCTTCTTGAAATCTGTCCTCATTAAATTCCATGCTGCACACCTGCAGACCAGAAATAAAACCCGGAGGGGACGAGGCCCGAAGCGCCGCCAAGCACTCCCTAGCCTCTTGATGCGCTGGCACGGACTTCAGGGGCAAAGACGTGCGTCCGGTCAGAAGGTGCTCTTAGTGGTCTCTCTTTTTCTATTTCAAAAATCTTCCCAAACACACGCAAAAGACACCTCTAGTCTCCCAGCAGCACCCGGATGTCGGCAACGAAGGAAGCAGGAGCCCCCAGTGGTCCGAGGACACCCACGTTCCAGCAAGTGGACAATACTGATAAAACGGTCGTCCTTCCCCGGCAGCTGCGACCCTCGCCCTCAGCAACGTGCCGTTATTTCCAGGGAAAACTGGCAACAAGCTTCAATTCTCTCTTCCTAATACTCAAGTCAATTTTATTACTTCTCACTTGTCAGTAATAACCAGCCAAGTAGGTCACCACTTAGCTTGGAAACCATAACTCAACTCGAGTGCGTACAGGCCAAACTTGAGCTTAGAGAGCAGATCTCTTCCTGATACTTAAAATCCTGTTGCTACCACTGCGATCCCCGAATTACATGAACTGTCTCAAAAAGATGGGAACGCAGCCTCCATCCGTCCAGCACAAGCTGTTGCAAGGGCCCCGTGAAGAGCATCGCCCTGGGACCGCACCGTCACTCCCCCGTGCCCCCTCCCGCCCCCTCCCGCCTGGAGGCATGACGTCATGCACATCCCACTGCACTCCAGCTCCGATCCCCAGCTCGCGGAGAAGAGCCCCCGGCCCTCCTCCCGCTCGCCCAGGAGATGGGGAGGGAAGACGCTCGAAGGAAGCCGATTGGGACGCCGCCTCGGCTCTGCCGAGCTCTGCTCTCAACACAGCCCTGGGTTCTTGCAAATACACAGCAGCAAGTTCCTTCCCTAACTTCGCCCGCGGGGCCACCTGGGGCCGTCAGGAGAGGCTGTGCTTGCCCGCGGAAGAACGGAGAACCAGACGAGGAGCTGGTGGAGGGCCCGGGACGGGGTCCCGCGGCAGGAGGGGCAGGGGGCCCTGTCGCCGCGCGGTCCGGGTCGGCAGGGACACCGCTCTACTGGGCCGGCGCGGGGCAGGGAGCTACAACGGGTCCGCACTCACGGTCGGGGCAGCTGCTCCTCCGCCACTGCCGGACCAGGAGGTGGCGGGGGCGGCGGCGGAGGCGGCGGCGGTTGAGGTGGCGGCGGCTGAGGGGGCTGAGACGGCGGCGGTGGCGGCTGCTGCTGTTGCTGCTGCTGGAAAGACTTGAGGGACTCGAAGGCCTTCATCAGCTTCTCCAGGGTCGCCATGGCGGTCTCCTGCCCCGTGGGGACAGCGTCCGGGACCCTCGGGCCGGCTCGCGACGCCGCTCAGCAGCGCAGCAATGAATGGGGTTTGAGGCCGCGGATAGGAAAGGCACCAAAGCATCCGGCCATCTTGAGCCCGTCCCGACAGCCCCCTCGGCCCTGCGTCCCGCGACGCTCCGCCGTCGGGGCGGGGCCAGGCCTGGCGGCCAGGATTGACAAACGAGAGGAGGCGGTCTCTGCCAATAGCCAACCGAGGTACTGGCCCGCCCCCGCGCCCATCAAATTGCCTCTAGATCTGGCGCAGCCACTGACATAAAAGCGTCCTTCCCCGGCCGGGAGGCGCGGCGCTGAGGGGCGGGATCAGGCGTGTAGGGCGGAGTGCGACGGGCTGGGAGCGGAACGGCGGCGCGGCTTTGTGGGCGTTTCCTGACGGCGAGGGGCCAACGTCCCCCATGAAGTCGTAACAAGGTGCCGAGGGCGGAACCTCCCGCTGAGGGGACAGGGAGACGAAGAAGGCCGGGCGAGGCGATGGGTCCGGGACCTGGCAGTGTGGGGCGCGGCGGTGATGAGGGAGGAACGTGGACGGAGCTATGAATGTGAGGCACGGCCCTGAGGGCTGATCCTAGTGGTGAGGGGCTGGGAGGGGGCGAGGACAGGGTGGTCTGGCAATGGGGGCGGGATCTGGCGCTGAGGGGCGGGGAGGGCTGGCGTCAAGACCCCGCCTGGGGTCCTGGTTAGCTTGGCCCGGAGACCCAAGGGGTTTGCATGCCCACCCGCGGCGGCCAGGCCGAGGGCGGGGTCGCCGACACACCCTGGAAGGAGTAGTGGCGCTCTCCCGGCCAGAAGCGCTCGGGCTCCCTCTGTGGGCGGAGCCCTGCGGGATTGGTCCTTGGAGGGAGCATCCGGGGCGTGGCCACCAGAGAGGGGCGGGGCCTGGGAGGACAAGGGTGGTGAAAATCTGCCTGGCCAGTGCTTGGGCTGTGCCTCGGGAGTAGTCCCCGCGCAGCACTGGTTATTCGACCCTTCGGGGGACGAGGACTCCTGCTTGGTGCACGGCAGGCGGCAGGAAGAGGTCCGGGCTTAGGCGCCTCACCACGTCGAGGACCCCTGGGCAGCGGCCCCACCTGACCCGCAGGAGGTGGGCTAGCCTTGGAAGGAGCAGACGGGGCTGCGGGGCGGGGGGGCAATAGCAAGAGTCGGAAGCCTCCAGAGCCCCGCAGGACGGGTCACAATCCGCATCTCTGCCCTCTCTTGGAGCCTCAGCTGTCCCAAGCGGTCAGGTGGAAGGAAACCTCAGGAACCCCTGTCTGCAAGGGGATAGCAGTAGCCCCCCCTTCGTGGGAAGAACCGCGTGTGTCAGCCTTGAGTACCAGTTCCCTGATGTTAGGGAAGGTCCTGAGCCACGTGTCACAGGACCGCCAGGTGCTGTGGCCTTCTAAGGTGGCCCAGGGATGCCCTCCTGCTGTTCAAGCCATGTACAGCGCCCTTCCCCTGAACGGGGGTGCCCCTGCGGATACCTCTAGCCAACCAAAGGAAAGGTGGCGTTCCTGGGACTCGGTTACAGAAGACTGAGGCTTCCATCCTGTTGGCTCTCTTTCCTCTGGGCTTGCACACGTTCGTGAAGCCAGCTGCCATGTGAGAGAGGCCCCCATGGCCAGCAGTCAGAGAGAAATGGAGTCTTCCCATCCAGCAGCCCCCAAAGAACGGAATCCTGCCAACACCACGTGAGCTGGGAAGTGGATTTTGCCCCATAGAGCTTTCAGGTGAGAGGCAGCTGGTGCTTGACTGGGCTTTTGGGAGACCGGGAAGTGGAGGACCCGCTGAGCCGTGCCCAGGTTCCTGATCCACAGCAGCTGTGAGATCCTGACTGTGTGCTGTGAAGCCACAGTGCGGCTGCTTACACAGCAGTAGGCAGGCGTGCTCATTCACCGGGGCTGCTGTAACCAGGTGCCGCAGACCGCAGGGCTCAGCAACAGGAACCTACCTTCTCCCAGCCCCACAGGCTGCAAGGCCAAGACCAAGGTGTAGGCAGGGCTGTTCCTCCTCCGAGGCCACTCTTCTCGGTGTGCAGGCAGCTTCTTCCCCCTGGGTCCTCACGTGGTCTTCCATGGTGCATGTCTGTCTTAATCCCCTCTCCCTATAAGGACACCAGGCAATTGGCTCAGGACCTACCCACGAGACCTCATTTTACCATCTCCAAGTACAGCCACGTTCTGGAGTGTCAGGTGAGCTTTCAGCACAAACTGCAATAGGACGCTTTCCTGACCCTCAGTGCCAGGACCTCAGTTTTCATCTGGACACTTTTCCGCTTAGTTAAAATGCATTGCCTGTCATCCCTTTTAGTGGACAGTAGCCACACGACTGGATACATTCTAGCCAATGAGCTGTAAGCAGAAGTGATGAGTGTTGGTTCTAGAAAGTGTCCTGCTGCCTGAAGGTGGGGTATCTTGGCTGGCACTTGAGCAGTGGGTTTGGGTCACGAGGATGAACTCCACATCCTGGGACAGTGGAGCTGCAAGGAGCCGGGCTCCAGATGACCAGGTGAAGCCAGGCCAGCCTGACCTGCCCGTCTCAGGGAAATCGGGGAGGAATATAATTCTATTTTGTTTAAAACACTGTTGCTTTGGGTTATTCTGTTTGTGTGCTCCAGAGAGGTCGGGTCACTGAGACCTCCTGTCACCACAACAGATCATGGCTCTTTCAGCCATGGCAGAGAGTCACCTAGAACTTATTGTGATCCTGACAAGAAGTCTTGTAAGAAAGCCTTAGAAAAAGGAACAGTCAAGAAGGCAGATTTTTTAAGCACAGAGAGAAGCTTGGCATTGTCCAGAAAACAGCAGAGAGAGACTGGCACAGCTCGGTGGACAAGCTGGCACAGCATCTCCAGAGCCTTGGCGGCGGGCACACTCCCCATGTAGCAGAGACCCTTCTCGTCGTTTACTCTCAGAGAGCAACTGCGTGTGTGTGAGGATGGTCCCTACACAGCAGCATTGAGCACAAAAAAGTGGGAACACCACCAATGCTGGGTGGTCATTTTGGGAAGATCGCTCGTGGCACAGGAGGACGCTCCCTGCGCGTTAGCAGGGTGTGCGGCAGTGCGGAGCAGGACTGCCTCTCTCTGCAGACACAGGAAAACAGCGTACACAGAAGAGGGGCCTGGTTACCAGATTCGGAACTGGCTCTCTGTGGGCAGGGCTACTAGGTGAGTCTGTATCTTAATCTGTGCTTTTCTGCAGCTTTCAAATTTTGGGGGCAGGGGAACATAAAAGAAAAGGTTTTTGTGGGAAGCTAAAGATAAAAGCCTCACAACACACTGATGACTAACCCCACCCTGGAGGAAATGCAGATGTTAAAGCAGCCTGGCACCCCCCACACACACGGATGCCAGCCGGACAGTGGCATCTGCCTGGATGCAAGACCCGGTGGGAGTCTGCAGGCGAGGCCTTAGCTGAAGGAAGCAGGAAGCAGAGCCGGGAGGGACAAAGGACCAGCAGTCCCTGAGGGCACTCTGGTGGCACCCTACCCATCAAATCCACACACGTTGCAAAAGACATAGACACTAATTGTTTTCAGCAGTCAACATTTATTTAAATTGACCCCCACATTTGCCATTTTTATTCCTCTTCATTACTTTCTGCCTTTGCGATCTTCCATTTGGGACCATTTTCTTCTGTCTGGAAAACACCCTTTAGAATTTCTTTTACAGTGGATCTTCTATTGCTAAAATCTCGGTTTCAACTTATCTGAATATGTCACTGTTTTGTCTTCATTCTTAATGGACTTTGGGTTGGATACAGAATTCAAGGCTGGCAGGTAACCCCTTGAGCACGTGGAAGACTTGGACCCCGCTGTCTGCCCGATCCTTGCTCTCCACAGTCAGTGGTTGCTCCTTTGAATGTGAGAGGGTTTTCCCCTCTGGCTGCTTCTGTGATCTTCTCCGTCTTCGGCTCTTTCTAGCTTGCTGTCCGAGTCATGGTGTGTGAGAAACGGGGCCCTGGCTCTGTTCACTGTGGGACTGGTGCTCAGGCCACTTCTTCTGCACTCCGTGGGTGTATGTGAAGCTCAAGCATCCTGAGGGTTTCTAGACACCACTGCAGTCCTGGGGTGGTTTTTTTCCTTCAGTCCAGCTCTAGTAAAAAGACAATTTGGCTATTAATGTAAAACGGTCTGTAGATTCATAGGCATGGTTTAAGATGTATCACACCTGTTTACTGCAGTTCACAGGAAGGATGGATACTGAGTCAAAAGCTCCTGGGCTTTGGGGTCAGGCTCTGCGTGTTGAACGTCACAGTCCTGCGGGCAGCTCTGCCTTCTCACCGGCTCCAGGGATGCAGCCCTGCGACACATGGCACATGCAGTCGTGACTTCCCTGGGCCAAGCTGCCTTCACTTGCCTCAAGTGGAAACGACAGTGGGGACACTCTGGGGGACTAACTCTAAGGCAGTCAAAACCCCGCACACGTTTTCTTTATCTCACAGCCTGAGGACACTCCATTCACACACACAAACACCACCCCCCCCCATGCCTCTCCTGTCACACTCCCCACCACGTGCACGCCCATGCACCCAGCCAGGCCGCATTCTCCAGGAGAACGAGGAGGCGTGGCCTCAACTGGCAGGACGCACCCACTGGCTGCTGGTTTCCCAGACAGGCCCCACTGCCACAGTGGGGCATGGAGCACAGGAGGGGTTTCCACGCAGCACTGACTGCATGGAGACAGGCTCTCCGGGAGAGCGCCGGGTTAGCCCAGACCCAGCCCTGCTCTCAGAGGGGTGCGGTCACGGTCAGTGCAGTCCAAGGGTTCGCCACCTAAGGATTGTTTTTCACAGTGTCAGTAGACAGCCTCTGAATGGAACCCTCAAGGACAGACGGTACAAAGCAGGACAGTCCACTAATCTGAGGAGAAAACTTCGCTTGGAGAAAAACTGTTAAATTTAATGCTACCATAGAAACTTTCTCCAAAGCACAATTCCATTTTTAAAAGAGAAGCAGCTTCCCATGTGAATGTGGGCAAATGAGATTCAGAACACGTAATGTGGAAATTGAAATAATATGTATTGTTTTATGATCTGTACAATACTGAGTTCTGAGTCTAGCGTAGAATGTTCTGCCGTCAATAGAAGAACCTGGCTGTGAGTTGCTAAGCCATCCTCCTCGGAGGAGGAGAACAGCCTGCACAGCAGCAGCACTGTGAGGATGTTTCTACCGGGCCCAGGAGCACTGTCTACAACAGCTGGCCTTCTCTATAAGAGGCACTGAAAAGAGAAAGTTTTGACTTCGTGGAGTATTTTTCTAACACGTCGCATTAAAAAACCCAAACCACGGTAACAATGTCTTACCATTATTCTCCTGAGGAATCTGCACAGGCCTCTCTTTCGCTTGGCAGCCGGCTGACAGGTTTTGTCTGCTACGTGGAATGACTCGGCTTCTTCATTTTCACTTTCGTTGATGTCCTTGAAACATTCGGACTCAATCATCTGCATCCACAGAGGAGCAGGGCAGAAGTAGGGGAGGCGCCAGGACCAGTCAGCTGTCCCCAGCCCAGCGCCACTCCAGCCCAGGCCTCTGTTCCTGCCTCCTGGCCTCTTCCTGGGGGTAATGTGGCCTCCCTGCCCCAACAGTGCCAGCCAGCCCTGCTTAGGAAGCTGGACTCGGAGCCAGATGCCCCCATGGGACCCAATGGCCACCTCTGTCTACTTCCTGTGAATGGACACGGGGCAGCTGCCGTGAATAATTTTTCCTCTCAAGACACACACACGTACACTCGCGCCACTCTTCTTTTGTCACCAGAACTGGGGTGAACTGGCCATGCTGACCAGGGCAGTACCTCATTCTGCCAGGGGATGGAGACACGCCCCGTAACAAACTGGCTGTAGAAGGCTTGGTCCGAGGTATCCAGGGAGATGCCTTTCACCGTAGAGAACCGCCGGATGTCCAGGATGTCCTTACAGTAAACCGCGTGTGGCTGCGCACCGAGAACAAGGAGGCACGGGCTGTGAGGTCACTGGGCCCCTCAGTTTCCTTAACCACTAAGGACACAGTACACATGGATTCCAGGCCTGAGCACCTCCCCAGTCCTGGTGCTGGCCGAGCCCCTCATCCGAAGCATTTCTGACCCCTTCCCCAGTCCCGTTCGGTCAGAGTCACAGACCGCAGATACCAACCGGCTGGCTCCCTCGCCCACACACCCCTGCAGAGCCCACACGTCCCTTTCCTGCAGTGGGCAACAGGTTACAGACAGCTGTGGTGAAGGGTGGCCAGGTGCTCTTACGGGGACACGGAGGGGTAGGACGGAGGCCCTTGGCCCTGGACCCTCACCCCTGCCTCTGACCCTCGGCCTCCTTCATGTCCAGTGTTGAGCGCCTGCCTAATCTGAGCGAAAAATGGCAGGCCCCATCAGAGCTCATCTCAGGTCTCCCTCCAACGAAGGCAGCCCCTCTGGGACAGGGCCTGGCACTACAGTTCTCGGGTGCAAGGGTCAGGAAGCAGGCAGGGCACGTCGGTGGGGCGCCCGTGCCCCTGGGCGGGAGTGGGGAGAGCACAGCAGGCCGCGGCAGGGCCAGGCCCAGCTCACACAAGACACCCTGCAGCTCTGAGAGCGCACAGCAGGGTGAGTATGGTAACCAAGGAAGTCATATTCCTGCTGTCACTGGCCGGAACTTCACTGAAAGCAGCTGTCACCACAAGGTGGGGACAAAGTCCAGGGGAAGGACGGCAAGGACTGGCCCCAGCCCAAGGCGCAAAACCCATATGGCCCCCTTTTTGAAATGAAAGTACCTGACACATCACCTCAAGAGAACCCCCAGAACTGTCCAGACCCTCTGTCCTGCGTGTCTCAGCACCACGCCACCATCATCCCTCCCTCCTCAGAGAAGACTGTCAGAAGACTGTCAGGCAGCCCCAGGGCCTGGTGGAAAGAAGGCTCTTGAGACCAGCAGTCCCATCTGAAGTCCCCACTGGTGTCGTGCTCCTCCTGTAACTGTTTCATCTGAGCTCTGTGCTGCTGGAGCGTGCTCCACCTCAGCAGAGGCCAGGCCACGTCCTCCTGTGCCCACACCACAACCATGTCATTGACATGCAACTCGAACTGGTTCAGGGAAGAAGGTGCTCGTGTGAGAGGCACCAGTCAGCTGAGCCCCGACCCGCGCCACCACCACCCCACACACTGCAGACCACCTCGTGCCGCATCTGCAGATGCCGCCCGCAGCAGACTCTCAGCACAGCGTCCGGCCTCGGGCGCAGTCTGCTTATGCCTGTGTCCACCCAGCACTGGTGTGTGCCCAGCCCATAGCCCAGCGTCCATGTGGACGCCCCCCCCCAGCACACACAAGTGACTGTGCCAGGGTCCTCAGTGTGGACAGGACCTCTGGGACATTGGTGGGGAAGCTAGCACGCCAGCACTGACATCAGAAAGGGACACTGGCTTTCCAAATTGGGCCCAGCACAATGGCTCCCACAGAGACAGGTGGCAGGGGAAAGGGCCATTCTGCCACCAGCAAAGTAGCCACCAGAGAGGACGCCATCAACATTCACAAGCACATCCATGGAGTGGCTTTCAAGAAGTGTGCCCCTCGAGTCCTCAGAGACATCAGGGAATTTGCCGTGAAGGAGATGGCAACTGCAGATGTGTGCACGAGCACCGGGCTCAACAAGGCCTTCTGGGCCGAAGGACTAAGGAGTGTCCTGTACCGTGTCCTGGGCGCTTATGCAGGAAACGTAACAAGGGTGAAGACTCACCAAACAAGTTCTATGTTTGTCACCTAGGTACCTGTCACCGCTTTAAAAAAAAAAATTCACAAACAGTGTGGATGAGAACTCACTGCTGATTGTCAAACTTACAAAACCACAAAGAAAAAAGAAAGGGACCTCAGTAACCAGAGGGCCTTGCAGGGCTTGCTGAGGGGGTGGTGCTAAGGTTTCTGAGAAGGGCGGTGACAGTCCACAGGGGACACTAGGCCCAAAGCCAGAGCGCTGCTGGGACAGCCCGGGAGGACAGGTCTGGGGTAGTGTGCGAGGCAGGGAGAGAGGGGCCAGATCCAAGGGGCCCCGGGCAGAGGCCACACCCCGCTGGCTGGAGCAGGTGGCAGAGCTGCTGGTGTGAGGCTCAGCCTCGTCTGGGACCCGGGCCGCGCCTGCAGCCGCGCAGACTCACGTCAGGGCGGAACGGGGGCTCTGCCATGTGCACCTCCAGCCTGTTGAAGTTAATGTCCTTGAACACGGGGTGCTGTTTCACCCCGGCTGCGCCGTCACCCCTGCAGCCCAGGCGCTGCTTGGGATTCTTGGTGAGTAACTGTGTAAGAAGCAGAGAGGGAGTCAAAAAGCTCCTGGGGTCAAAAAGAAATGCAGAACATCTCCATAGCAATAACCAGAGTCGGGGGATGGCAAAGAGCCAGTGTGGCTCTGTGGGCTGGGCGTTGTCCCACAAAGCGAAAGGTCACGGGTTCAATTCCCACATACGCATGGGTTTGCGGGTGAGGTCCCAGGTTGGGGCGCATACAATTGAAGTTTCCCTTGCTCCCTCCTTTCTCCTGTCTCTAAAAATAAATAAGTAAAATCTTTAAAAAAGAAAAACAGTCACTCCAGTGACTGTTTCAAAGTATTGACCAAACTTCGTTAATTCAGATTTTACTGATTTAGCATATGTGGTGCTTCAAAAGGCAGCGAAACAAAAGATCTCTGAGCGAATAAGGACTTGGCTAAGTGAGTCCTTACCATGAAAAATCAGGGGGAAATAAATAACTGCTGTGCGCTTCAGAGATAGCACTTGAATGCTCATTTATACTTAGAAACCATTATCTACTCATTAAGTAGGTCACTGGAGGTCTCAGCTATGCGAACGTTTAGCAAACCTAGTTCTAGAAAGTGAACATTCTGAAAATTAATAGAAAGTACCTCTTTCAAAGGCATTCCTTCCTAATGTGTTTAGAATTGTCACAAACTCACAGAGGCCTTCTTCCGCCATTACGATCAATCGGAAAGACCTGGCTGTGCTCACAGCAGCACAGGAAAGACCCGGAGCTTGAAAACGCAGCACAGACGGGGGTGGAGGCTGCAGCCCGGCCTCCAGCCCGAGCAGCGGGCCCGGGGCTCGGCCGTGACTGCTGCTGCTCTGCACTGCGCAGGCAGAGCACCGTGAGGCCTGAGTAATACTGATTTCCGGGCCCCTCCCAGGAAGGTCGGCTGACCCCTGGCCAAACTCCCAGCCAGCTCCTACTGCTTTTCTGAATATAAATTGAAGGCCAAGGCACATTCTGTTTCCAGCTTCTCTGCTTTTTACCGTGGTTATTTTCATGTCCATTTGTTTCAGACCTGCCACAAACCTGGGAGCTCCTAGGGGCAGCTCTGTTTCTGACACACAGTTTTGCATTCCTGCAGCCCCATCGGAGCACAGCAGGCACACAGCCGGTACTGACCAAGGCACATCAGCCACAGCTCGGACGGGATGTTACCAAACGAGGAGGCACCGACTGAAGCCAGTCAGCTCCAAGCAGAGTAAGTGGGAGGGAGGCCCGACCCCACCAATAGTATCAGGCGCTGACACAGGCCACTTGTGCACCGAAACGGAAGGGGAGGGGACCCGCAATAGTTGCCCTCCACCCACCACCAACTCCCACGACACTGAGGCACCTCAGTCGCAGTTGTGCCTGCCAGGGACTCCGACATGCCACCTCCCCAGGGACCTGGTCCCCCATCCTGACCCTGCCACTCTCCCCGTGGGTCATACCTTGACCCTTCGTGACGAGCGAGCCCTTCTCTGACTCATTTCAAACGGCTTCCTCACCTTGCATTCCCCAGTGTTGCTACTCTGGCAAGACAGACCATGACGCCCACAAGCTGTGGCTCCCATGACAGGAGCAGGGCACACAGTTGGGGCCACGGACCTCCCCTTAATTCAGGTCCACATGGGCCTTCGGGGCTCCCAGGGTCACCCTCAGCTTCCTTCACCTCCTCCACCCACAGCTCCAGCAGCTCCCCGATGACCTCTGAGAACAGAAGCCCCTGCAGAGCAGTCACGCGCTCCGGCTGCGCTCCGGCCACCCTGCAGCACCAACGCTCTCTCTCCGGGCGGCCACCCTTCCCCCGCCCTGCACAGCCTGGACGCCCCACACCGAACCCTGCAGGCGCCACCTCCCTGTCCGGCTGGATCTGGCTCCTCACCCACCTGTGACTGTCCCTCTCCGAAACGTCTTCGGAGCCCTGGCTGGTTTTCCTCCACCATCCTCACAGTCTCTTCCCAGCACGACCCCCTCCGAACCCTGCCTTCCCGGGGCCCCACCGACCCCTCTCCACTCCCCCCAGTGCCTGGCAGTCCACACCCCATCCTGCCGCAGAACAAGCCCCAGGGAATGGGGTCCTGGCTGGCCCTGCTCACTGCTGGATCCCCCGTGCCCAAGACAGCCCCACAGGCGATGCTCACAAACGCTCACACATGGAAACGAGTGAAGAAATGTGCACAGAGCACCTGAGTCCCGGCAGAAGTGACGAAGAGGGCTCCTTCCACCCCGTGCCTGTGCAGTCATGGACCCCGAGCGAACGAAAGGACTCCCGTGCAGCCCGGGGGCATGTGGGGGCCTGACTGCACCTCAGGAGGCGCATCTCCCTGCCGTGGCACACAGCCTTGCCGGGCCCCTGACCCTGGAACACAGGCAAGCCTGCGGCAGGCCGGTCAGGGTGATGACAGGACAGTCCCTGGCAGCTAAAGTGAGGAAGAGAAACACGGGCGAGAGCAAGAACTCACTGCTCCGCAGACCCCGCTTTGCATCAGTTTCAGGGAAGCCGGTGGGGCACTGGGCCCAGTTGCACTCCGACAAGAGGGTGCGGCCTCAGTGCCGCCCCTCCTCCCCACCCAGCAGTACCCCCAAGGCAGACAAGCTGCGAACTCCACTCGGCGCTTTGCTCTGCCTCATCAGAAACCCACTTATCCTTCTCCCGGGTGGCGTCCAGACTGTCCCTGCAGCCCTGTCTACCCTGAGAGGGAGCCTCACTGGCATGGGAATCAGGACGCCGTGGGCAGGGCCGCTGGTGGCCTCTCCCAAGTCCCTGAGACACTCCACCCCCACCCCGCCCCAGAGCCTGACCCACCATCCTGCAGACGGACTTGGCGTCCTCCGAAAACTTCTCGGAGTACTCCTCGGTGTCCGTCTTCACGCGCCGCTCCACCTCCTCCCGCTGGACCTTCTCTTTGAATTTTCTGAACGGAGAGTGTCCCTGAATCATTTCATACATCAGACAGCCAAGTCCCCACCAGTCAGGACTAAATGCGTAGTTTTCATTATTGATAACTTCAGGAGCTACGCAACAAATACAGGAAATTTAAGTTAAAATTTAGTTTTCAACTTTCTTGTCATCAATTCCAATCAACACACTACGGTTTCAGTGTTTGTCGTAACTGGATGAGCCCAGAAACTACGGTAAGCGACGCAGCCAGACACACAGGCTGCGCGGCGCACGGTCTGTGAAGCAGCCTCGCCAAGTGCTCGGGGACAGAAAGCACATCAGTGGCTGCAGGGCCGGGAGTGGGAGGTGACAAAAATCTTCCAGAATGGGATGGTGGTGGCGGTGGCGCACTGCCAGGAATATTCTGGAACCCACAGGCTGGCGATCTCCCGACCACTGGGCTTTACGGGGGTGGGTTGCGTCTCACCACAGCTGGCACCAGGAACTGCGCCATTCGTGAGCGTGAACCGAACCCCCTCAGAACAAGGACTGGGGAGGGAGCTCCCTCCACACACACAGAACCGCAGCCCCGGGCGCCCTGCACAACCCCCAGCCATGGCCTCCGCCCCGAGCGTAGGCAAGCCCACAGCGGCAGGTGACAGCAGAAACGGGGTTATGCAGACTGCTGCAGGAGGCCACCCTGGGTGGGGTCAGGCTGGCCTCCCAGCCAGAGCTGTGAGGTCACTCCTCTGGAGCTGACCCGAGGCTTCGGAATAGGCAGGGGACACAAGTTCATGCAGGGTCTGCGAGGGCAGGGTGCGCAGGGTGGCGGCAGCAGAGTGAGGAGGCCTGCCCAGTCCCAGCCCAGCCTTCAGGGAGCCCCCAGTCCCACCGAGGAGGGGGCAGACGGGACGCCTGTGCCTCGGGCAGGACTGCCTCCGGGTACGTCTGCCCTGGAATTTCTCTGGGTTCTGAGGACCCCGGCACCTAGACAGAAAGTGGAAGGGCCGCCGAAGGGGCCTCCTACGTACCCATGTAGCCCACCGTGCCGACTCTTCCTCGAACCATCTCCCCTTCTGGGACCTCCAAGGCCAAACCAAGATCAGAAATCCGGATATGTCCTGCGTGAGTTCAATCACATCATTACACAAATCACAGGGGCACGTGCTGATGCTCGAACAACAAAAAGGGGAAGGAACATCTACGAACACGGATGGAACGGCAGCAGCCCACACTCGGACACACTGAGATCTAAAATTACAGACAACTTTCCCACACTTGCTAAAGTACCACCCAGGGCGTTCGGTCCCACTGACAGCAGGGAACGAGACTGCCGCCTGGTCCTTGATCCAGAAGCCCCTCCCCCGCGGGCAGCCCTCCCAGGCACGGAAACAGTTCCCGTCTACACTGTGCTCCAGACCGGAAACAGGCCCTGGACTCGGCTGCACCGCATCACAGGCCCCGCCCCGAGGCCGGAGCTGAAGGGTCAGCGGGGATGGAGCCGCAGGGCCTGGGGTGGAGCCCACCCAGCTCCGCCACTTGCTGGCACCTCTCGGCTTCCTCCTTTCACACAGAATTCCCTCAACAGCACAGGTTTATATACTTTTTCTTTAAGTAGAACACACATGTTGTGAAATTTTAAGTTCCTTTGTCTCATTTTTCTTTTAAGAAGTGATTTTTATACTGAGAAGTAAATGGTAAACCTACTGAAAAACCGACGAAAACTCCGAATTTGAGAACACGACCAGTGGGTGTGATGCAGGGAAGCGGGCAGACCCGTCCCCCCTGGGGAGGGTGCGAACCCACGCAGCACCCTGGGGGGAGTCTGGTGGGGCTGTGCGCGGGCCTGCCCTTCCACCTGGCACCCCACTTCTGTGACTCCGGGCCAGGCAGCCGGGCCAGGGACCCGGGGACCTCCACTCCGTGTGGCAGAGTGACTCTGCCACATATTTTAAAAGCAAAGTGAAGGAAAATATCGTATGCTAATGTCATTAGGAACCGATATTTCCAGCATTAGGAGAAAAACACAGACGTGAAATAATGATGTTAAATAAAAATTGGGAATAGCAACATGAACCCAGGATGACATCTTCTTAAAACAGAAAAGGTAAAACTGTCTTCTCTGTCCACTGTCAGGCCCAGGAAGACCGGCTTGCCGTGGCAGCAGGCACCTTGGCGCTCGGACGGGCTCACGGTGCCGCCTCCACCCAGAAGCCCAGGGCCCTCTGAGAAGCGCCTGCCCCAGGCCTCAGCACGTGTGCCAGGCAGCCCGCACAGCACCGCAGCAGTGAGCAGGGACGGTCTCAGAGTCTGCCAGACACCCACTGGCCAGGGACGGGGCACTCTGAACACCTGAAAGAGTGACTTCAGAGGGCTGAGACACATCGAGGTGCTCAAGTCCAGCAGCTCAGAGACAGCAAAACAGAAAAGCAAACGCTCTCGGTCACCTTGGAGAAAGACGGAGAACTAGCGTGGTATTCCGAGAAGTGAAAAGAAAGGGAGGTGGTATTCAAGAACCTCACCAGATTTTCCTGAAACACAAGTGAACGAGTGCTGATGAAGCAAAGTTCCTTTTCCCAGATGAATCCCAACAAGTGAGCAGGAAGGGAACGAGAGGAGCAGCGTGTCCTTGCACACCCAGTGGCTCTCCACACTGACCATCGGGCCGTTCACTGAGCGGCTGGCGGGGACTGCCTGGGGACAGACCAGCAGACCACACCCTGGGTCAGCCTGAACACCACGGAGAGAGAGACCCTGGCCGGGTGGCTCTGTGGGTTGGAGTGCTGTCCCCACGCACCAAAGGTTGCAGGTTCCATCCCCAGTCGGGCACATGTGAGAGGCGACCCACTGATGTTTCTCTCACGGTGGTGTTTTCTCTCTCTTCCTTTCTCTCTCTCAACTCAATAAACATATCCTTTGGTGAGGATTAAAAAAATATTTTTTGCCCTGGCTGGTGTGGTTCAGTGGATTGAGTGCCGGCCTGCGAACCGAAGGGTCACCGCTTTGATTCCCGGTCAGGGCACACGCCTGGGTCCAGGCCAGGCCCCACCCCGCACCCCCAAGGGGCACTTGAGAGGCAACCAATCAGTGCTTCTCCTGTGCACTGTTGTTTCTCTCCCTCTTTTTCTCCCTCCTTTCTCCTCTCTCTAAAATAAATAAAATAGTTTTTCAAAATGCTAATGGTTTTTATAAGAAACTCACTATCTGACTTTTTTAGAATATCTCTATTTCATAAAACTAGACTTTCATAAAACATAAAACTTTCTACAGAAGCCTCTTCTATAGAAAATATAAGCATGATAGTTTTCTTTATTATCACTACCACCAGACGCATTTCATAAGCCAAGGCTTCCGTAATTTACACATTTGCAGGAGAGTGCGGAGACATCGGGCAGGGCCACAGGGTAAACATGCCTCACGGCGCAGAGCGGAGCTGGCCCGCTTCCCTCGCCGAGGGCCACCACCAAGTCAGGCTCTGCCGCGCCAACCAAATGCAGCCTAACAGGTTGTCTAGAAGGAAAACGGAGACGTGTTTACGGCAAATCCTGTCACTCCATCTCCCATGGCTCATCGGTGGAAATCTTAGGAATCTTAACTGCACGATAGTAAAAATCCCAAAATCAACTGCACTTTTTAAGTCACAGAAACTAAAGTATATTTTTAAAAATGAAAACAGTAGGACTTCCGCCAAGATGGAGGCGTAGGTGGAAACACCTTGCATTCGCGCAAGCACAACCAAATCTAAAAACAAAGTTTTAGCAACAATAAACACAACCAAACCACACAGAAAATCGACAATACAAAGTCCAAAGACAACGAAATGCTCAGCTAAGCCGGTAAGAGGAGCGAAGCCAGCAGCGGAGCAGGTGGTGCGCAAGCAGCCGAAGGCGCAGATCCCAGGTGCGGGCTGGCTACCAGCGGACACAGGGAAGAGGCGCGGCTGGCTGTCTGTGGTCGGTGGAGCATTTGTGTGCAGATAAACCAGTGAAGAGGCGAGCACTGAGACCGCACGGTGCAGGGCCAGGGCGGTGGGCTCGCACATTTCCGCTCGGATAAACAGGCCGGGGTGGTGGGACGGACTGGCAAGCAGAGAGGACTGCCATTGCTCCCTCTCTGGCCCCGCCCCCACATACAGCGTCACAAACCAGTGACCTGGGTGGCCCTGCCCTAGTAAACAACTAAGGTTCCACTCTTCATACTTAACGGCACAAACAGACCAAAAATGGCTCAAGAACAACTCAGAGCCCTAGAGCCAATAAATCTAAGTGATGAAGAAATAGCCAAACTTTCAGATGCACAGTTCAAAACACTGGTGATCAGGACACTCACAGAACTGGTTGATTATAGTCACAAATTAGAGAAACATATGAAAGCTAAACTAATTGAAATGAATGGTAATGCACAGGAAACCAACAGTAATGGAAAGGAAACTGGGACTCAAATCAAGGGAGTAGACCAGAAGGAAGGAAAAAATGACCAAACAGAAAAGAATGAAGAAACAAGAATTCAAAAAAATGAGGAGAGGCTTAGGAACCTCCAGGACATCTTTAAACGTTCCAACATTCCAATTATAGGGGTACCAGAAGGGGAAGAGGAACAGCCACCAGTGGAAAACTCATTTGAACAAATAATAAAGGAGAACTTCCCCAATCTGGCAAAGGAAATAGACTTCCAGGAAATCCAGGAAGCTCAGAGAGTCCCAAAGAAGTTGGACCCAAGAAGAAACACACCAAGGCACATCATCATTACATTAGCCAAGATTAAAATGAAGGAGAGAATACCAGAAGCAGCCAGAGCTAAGGGGACAGTCACCTACAAAGGAGTTCCCATCAGACTGTCAGCTGATTTCTCAAAAGAGACCTTAAAGGCAAGAAGGGGCTGGAAAGAGGTATTCCAAGTCATGAAATCCAAAGACCTACAACCAAGATTGCTCTATCCAGCAAAGCTTTCATTTAGAATGGAAGGACAGATAAAGTGCTTCTCACATAGGATCAAATTCAAGGAGTTCATCATCACCAAGCCCTTATTATATGAAATGTTAAAGGGACTTACCTAAGAAAAAGAAGATAAAAAAAAGATGAACAGTGAAAGGACAGCAAATTCAGTTATCAACAATCACACCTGAAACAAAAGCAAATTAAGAGGACAGCTAGATCAGGAGTGAACCATAGAAATGAAGATCACGTGGAGGGTTAGCAACAGGGGAGTGGGAGAAGGGGAAGGGGGGAGAAGGTACAGAAAATAAGTAGCACAGACAGTAGATAGAAAATAGGGGGGAGGGCAAGAATAGTATGGGAAACATAGAATCTAAAGAACTTGAGACACGTGTTCATGAACTAAAGGGGGGATGGTGGGGGAGGGGTGTGCAGGGTGGAGGGGAAAGGTGGGGAATAGAACAACTGTAATGGCATAATCAATAAAAAATGTTTAAAAAATGAAAACAGTAGGAAAAGAGGAGTAAGAGATTAAAAGTCTCCTTACATCGAGAAAAGCAAAGGAGGTTTTGTCCTCTCGCTGTTGGAAGGCGTGTCAAGGACAGTAACACAGCAACAGCGCCCAGAATCGCCGCTTTTTGTTAGACGCGCAAAACGCCTCAAGCATGGGAGTGGTGGGCAGAGAGCGCTCCCCCAAGCTGCTCTCCCCCGGGGGTCTCCGTGGCACCCCTCCCTCCCCCGCAGACTGCCGCCCTCCTTCCCAGCACAGGCAGCGTCTGGACCCCCCTCAGCCGCTTCCTCTTTCCCAATTAACAATGTGGCGCATGTCGGTGATGCTGCCTTCTGCACACGGCGAACGCCCGCCTTTCCAAAGCCACTCTGACCCACACTGGCTGGCAGCCCAGTGCAAAGAATGGGCCTCAGGGGTTGGGACTGGGGTTGGGGTCAGAAGAAGAAAAAGAAAGAGAACAAAAAGGAGTGTGCAACAGGCCAGGAGCCCGAAGCCGTGGGCGGGACCTGGCAAGACAGTCACACCCTGGTGCCATCAAGCCCCGAAACTGTCTCACTTGGACTAGAAAACAATGTCTCAGCACTCGGTGCTTGCTTGGGACTCGTCACCTTTGCTAGACCTCGCAGGAGTCACGGCGCCACCCCACAAAAGAACACACTTCATCGTTTGGTACTCCTGGGTTTCGGCACTCCGCAGGAGTTCTGGGATGACTTCACAGCGAGCCCGAGGCACCAGTGCTTCCAGACGCCGGCCTCCACCGCCTCCCACACACGAGGCTCCTTTCCATTCCTCACGGGGGCCGTGTCACACCTAAAGGGGACACCAGGCCGCAAAGCCCTCGGCAGGCGCATGGGGGCCCCTGGCCCTGACGGAGCCCCAGCCCCGGGTTTGCCTGTGGGTTGCTGCCCTCGACTCCGCCCTCTCCTGGCGGAGTCTGGTTGGCCCTGCCTCGTGCTCTCTGCTAGGCAGCCACACTCCTCGCAGTCAAACATCACCTCCAAAAACTCCCCTCCCAAAAGGGTGCACGTGGCCACTTGCGGACACGGCAGCACCGCCTGACGGGTGCGGCCCTTCCCACCCCAGGCACCAGCAGCTGCCTGTCCCAGCAGGGGGGGCACGGCGCCCAGCCACTGCTCTTAAAGGAGCACGAGCCCGCTCGTGTCTGACGTCGTCTCCGACTGCGCTGACCAGCTGGGCCCACGTCCACCCTCTGTGTCCAAGTCCCTCGCAACAGAGTCTGTACATCTGACCAGACGGGCTCACTCACCGAGGTCATCGAGCAGGATGTTCTCAGGCTTTAAGTCTCTACAAAGGAAGAAATGACAGCAAAACTCAGTTATTTAAAAGTCAGTACCATGAGCCCTGGCTGGTGTGGCTCAGTGGTTGAGCGCCAGACTGTGAACCAAAGGGTTGCTGGTTCCACTCCCAGTCAGGGCACAGGCCTGGGTTGTGGGCCAGGTGTCCAGTAGAGGGCGTGTGAGAGACAGCCATACACTGATGTTTCTCTCTTTTTCTCCTTCTCTTCCCCTCTCTAAAAATAAATAAATAAAATCTTTTAAAAAGCAAAAAGGAAGTCAATACCGTGATCCACCAGCAGCCCATGGAAATTACCAGAAGTCTCTGCACTTTGAGCAACAGCAACGACAGATAACACGACCACACTTTGCGGATCAAGCCAGGAGCCCTGGGTGCTGCCCCATCTCCAGCCATCACACAGAAGAATAAGGTGCCCACAGACAGCGTCCACCTGACCCAGCGTAGGACGGACCTCTGCACAGACGCTCACTGGAGACGCTCAGCGCCCACGCGTCGGAAGCAACTCTGTGTGTCTGGCCACAGTCTCCCTCTCTGAAGCACAAACAGAAGCAGTGGGATTCCAGGGCGAGAGAAAAACGGCCTGCGGCCCCCCTCCACCTGCCCAAGTCTGTGCGCACAGGAAGCCCCAGGGTGTGCACGCCTGGGCTTCTGGAACCAGCGGCAGAGTCCCGCAAGGGCACTGGCCGCTCGGCTGCAGCGGTGGCGCCTCTGGGTACTCGCAGTCAACAGCTCGAAACTGAAGTAACTGCACTGCAAACCGAATACAACGTGGAGGAATAAACTTAACAAAAAAGTACAAGACTTACACATTGAAAACGACAAAGCATCTCTGAGAGAAGTTGAAGAACGTCTCAGTGAATGGAAAGACATGAGAAGATTCGGTGTGGCTAAGACGTCATTGTTCCCAAATCGATCTACAGATTCAGTGCAAACCTCCGCAGGCAAAAAAATTTCATTTTGAAAACTGACAAGCTAAGAAAACGAAAAATGAATCTGCCTTTTGACCCAGCAATTCCACTGCTAGGATTATATCCTAGGAGTCCTGAAACACCAATCCAACAGAACCAACCTATGCACCCCAATGTTCACAGCAGCACAATTCACAACAGCCAAGAGTTGGAAGCAACCTAGGTGCTCGTCAGTAAATGAATGGATAAAAAAACTCTGGTACACTTACACAGTGGAATTCTGTGCAGCAGAGAGAGAGAAGGAGCTCCTACCCTTCACAACAGCATGGATGGAACTGGGGAGCATTATGCTGAGTGAAATAAGCCAGGCGGTGAAAGACAAATACCATATGATCTCACCTTTAACAGGAACCTAAACAACAAAACAAACAAGCAAGCAAAATATAACCAAAGACACTGAAATACAGAACAGACTGACAGTGACCAGAGGGGAGAGGGGAGGGAATGATTTAGAGGAACAAGTATAAAGGACACATGAACAACAACTAAGGGGGGTGGAAATGGGAGGGAGGCGGGGAGCACTGGGGGGTGGGCTGGGGTGGGAGTAAAAGACAGAAACTGTACTTGAACAATAATTTTAAAAAGCTGACAAGCTGATCTTCACACTTAGCTGGAAATGCTAAGCGAGGACCCAGAACAGCCAAAACCATCTTCAACAGGACCAGCGCTGGAGTCAAAATGTCAGGTGATAAGTGCAGGAGGTGGAGGAATGGGCACTTTCTGACGTCAAAACTCACTACAAAGCTACGGTAAACGAGACGGTGTGTTATTGGCAGGAGGACAGACAGACCAACGGAACAACGCAGGGGGCAGCCCCCCATCTGCGGCCGGCGGTTTCCCACGGAGCCACCAAGGCGGGGCAGGGAGGAAACGCCGGTGTTTGCAACAAAGAGGCTGAGATACAGGCTCTTAATCCACCCACACTGCGCTACAACTGACTCAAGATACACTTTATTTTTTAAAGACCTTATTTATTTTATTTTAAGAAAGCAAAGAAGGGAGGGAGAGAGAGAGAAACATCAATCAGTCGCCTCTCGCACGCCCCCTACTGGGGACCTGGCCCACAGCCCAAGCATGTGCCCTGGTCAGGAATCCAACCAGCGACCCTTGTGGTTCTCAGGCCAGAACTCAACCCACTGAGCCACTCCAGCCAGGGCTGAAGATTGATTTTAAACCTAAAAGAAAAACTATGAACCTCTTAGAAGAAATCATTGGACAAAATCTTCATGCTGTTCGGTTGGACATAGATCTCTTACCTGTGCCACCAAGTGTGATTGGTGAGAGAAAACTCATAAACTGTACTTCATTACAGTGCAAAGCTTTTGTACTTTCTAAAGAGACTATTGAGAAAATAGAAAGACAAGCCACGGACTGTGAGAAAATACTTGCAAATTTTATGTCTGCTTAAGGACTTGTGAGCAGAACATATAAAGAATTATTTCCACTGAAGAAGGCAAAAACCCACATTTAAAATGAGAATATTTGAATAGACACTTTACTACACAATGTGCAAGAATGGTCAACAGACCCCCGGAAAGGTGCTTGATATCATCAGTCACCAGGGAAATGCAAATCAAAGCCATCCTGCAGGGTCACTGGGAGGGCCAGCATGGAAACATCGGGGGACGAGTGTGGGAGGTGGACTGGGCACCCTGGAGAAATTGTAAAACGCAGCCACTGTGAAAGGCAGTTTGGGATTTTCCTGAAAAGATCCACACAAATGTCCCCTATGACCAAAAAATGCGTCTTACAGGCATCTACCCAAGAGCACTGAAAATGTCGTGGGACCTGTCTGGGACACGACAGACCCAGGTCCCTGGCGAGAGGCCAACTGGCTTCTCCAGCCCCTCACCCAAGTGTTATCTGCTGTGTGTTTTTCTACCGTTTGCTTAATCGTTAGAAAATACAATGAAATTGAAAACTTTTCCTCCAAAATGGTGAAAAGACCCCCTCCACGCAATTAGTGGACACATCCGTCAGCTAGCGCGTCAAGTCTGTTTTCGGTGAAGACAACGAAGCTCTCCTTTTTGAGCACACCTCCCAGCCCGGCGCCGGGTCGCCAGCTCACGCGTCCAGGCTCCTGTCCGTCCTCAGACCTCGCTCTCGGGGGAGCTGGATGCCCGGCCCTTCCCCTGCCCCACCCCTACGGCCCCGCCCCCGCCCCAGCCCCTGGCCACTGTGTTTCTACACGGTTTCTAGGAGTCTGATTTTTTTATTTTTAAAATATTTTATTTATTTACTTTCAGAGAGAGGAGAAGGGAAGGAGAAAGAGAGGGAGAGAAACATCAACGCTGTCGATGCACAGGCCGGGGGCGCGCACCTGTACACGATCCTCTCCCTCTGCAAGTCCTCCAGGCCGCAGCACAGCTCCGCCGCATAGAACACGGCCCTCCGCTCGTCCAGGCCCGGGCCGCCCAGGTTGCAGATGTGGAACTTCAGGTCCCCTCCGTTCATGAGGGTGAGCACCAGGCACAGGCAGTCCTTGGTCTCGTACGTGTAGCACAGGCCCACCTAGAGACGGCAGCGCCGCGAGCACAGACACGGCCCCGCTCACTCCCTGGCGGGTGCCCTGCCACACACATGGGGTTCGTGATGCGGACCCCACTCCAGGGACAGCACACCTGTGCCTGGGGCAGCTCTGCTCTGAAGGGAGGGGACTTGCTATGTTCCAGTGGGCAAGCGGCAAAACTTCCCACGGACGCCGGGGTCCTGACCCCAAAGCCACGCTCCCTGCCTGGAGCTCCGGCATCGCGCACTTCCAGAGCCCCCGTGACCAGCCAACGCGTCCACCGCACCCCACGAGCCCGACCGGGCAGGCAGCCGCTCAGCCCCGGAGGGCGGAGGCGGCGGAGGCGGCGGAGGCGGCAGAGGCGGCGGAGGCCCGCGTCGTCTGCAAGCGCGGCGCATGCGCAAACCCGCGTCCCTGGGACCTTTGCCGGCTCCAGGCTCTCGCCCGCTTTGCTGTTGGTTCGTGTGTGAGCGCGCTCGCTCTCTCTCTCTCTCTCTCTCTCTCTCACTCACACACACACACACACACACACACACTCACTCACTCACCCACTCACTCACTCACTCACTCACTCACACCCCCCCGCTGGGGCTGTGACCGGGCTGCACTGAATCCGTTTAACCGCCCGCCGACCTCGCAGCACCGAGTCTTCCGACCCCGGGCGGGCGCCCCTCCACCTGCTCGGGCTCCCGCCGCCCCCGCGCCGGCGACCTGCAGGTGCCCGCGGAGAAGCCTGCGCGTCTCCCCTGCCCGCCTAGACTCAGGTGTTCCCTGACGCCGTCGTAAACGGCACCAGTTAAAGCTCCCGTTTTCTAACTGCGGCGAGTGTCCCACTCGGGAACCGGACCAAGCTCCGACCAGTCTCGCGCTGTCCACACTCGCGTCGCGCCGCGGGCCGGGGCGGGGAGGAGCCGCTGACACAGGGCGGGGCAGGGCCCCTCGTCGGCCGCACCCAGGGACAGCAGATCCGAGGATGGAGCGGCCGGCGTGCACAGCAAGATGCTGGACTTAAAGCGACTAAGCCGAACGGCTGCCTCTGCCCCTCCTACTCCGCCAGGCTGCGGACTCCCGGGTCTGCAGGGCCGTCACGCTGACGCGCCGGAGGCAACTCCGAGCCCATCTGACTAAATGGTTCCGCGTGACAACTGCCCGGCCATCAGACACACAGAGTCCTGCTCTCGAGGTGCAATGAGGGCCGTCCTTTGTCTGGGACATCTGTCCCCAGCCCAGAGCAGCTGGCCTCAGCCCCGGGAAGCAGAGGCCCCGGGGGAGTGGCTCCAACGCAGCCAGCCGCTCTCCTCCGCCTTCCGCCAGACCTCCTTACCGGTCGGCGCCCGGGGACACCAGGCCCAGGGGAGGAGAAGCCAGGTCCGAGGTGAGGGCCGCTCCGCCCCACAGCCTTGCAGCAGCCCCCCCACCCCGTGCAGGCGGATCCTGCAGCTCCGTACAACAGGGACGCGCCAACTGGGGGCCGACTCCAGGTGTCCGGGAAAGGACAGAGGTGGGAACAGACAGGGCCCATGGGAGGGGACGCTGGGAAGTGCCTCCAGGCAGGCCGGGGTCCGAGGGCTGTCCCCCGTGGGGGGGAGGGGCCCCTGGCCAGCCAGGCAGGAGGGGGCAGCTGTGAGGAGTACCGGCCAGATCAGAGATGCGGACGGCCGTCCCCTGCAAGTCCCTGGCAGGGACGCCACAGGCTTCCATTCGTGTCCTAGGTTAGGACTGAGTGAGAGGGACGAGGGCTGCACCGGGCACCTCTCCCCTTGAACGCCCGAGACCAGCCCCACATGGCAGCTCCCGGGGCTGGGGGGCGACGCGCACCCCCAGGAACCCACAGGGAGGAGGGGAGAGATACTCACGACAAACCGGCTGTGCACTTTCTCCAGGATTCTCTTCTCGTTCAGCGCCATGGCTTCCCCCTTCCTCCTCTTTATCCTTTTCTTTTCTAACTTTTTACAGGCGTACATTTTCCCCGTAGCTCTCACTTGACAGGCACAAACCTAGTTTAAAAAAAATAAAGAAAACATTCACACTGCGGAGAGAGCACAGTGGTCCAAGAGAGCCCAGTAAAGAATAGCAGCTGCGCTGCAGGAGCCAGGACCACGGGAGTGGACACCTGGCCACACCGGCGTGGGCTCCCGCCCCTCCGCTGCCGCCTCTGTAGGAGCTCAGGCCGCCTGGGGAGCAGAGCTCGCCCCACGGCCCCAACGCGGGGCCACTGGGACCAGGTCACATGTGACCATGCGCGACTGGCCGACTTTGAGACGCCTTTCCCGTCTTCTCTTTGGCTGTACAAGAGCAAAAGTTCTAGAAACTAAATAAAATCTTGATTTTTTTAAAAAAAAGTTCAAGCATATAAGAAAATATATTTCATAGAGTTCATACCTTTCCATACATTTATTCTTAGTTTTAAAGTTGTATTTATAAGTCCTGGCTGGTGTAGCTCAGTGGATTGAGCGCGGGCCTGCGAACCACACAATCGCGGTTCGATTCCCAGTCAGGGCACATGCCTGGGTTGCAGGCCAGTTCCCAGCAGGGGACGCACGAGAGGCAACCATACATTGATATTTCTCTGTCCTTCTCTCCTTCCCTTCCTCTCTAAAGATAAAATTTTTAAAAAGTTGTATTTATAGATCACTTAACTGTACATTATGAAAATTTTCCAACAAACATTTCAAAACAGTGGAGAAAGAAGAGAAAGCCCCCGCGGGCCCCAGTCCCCAGGCTCTGGAGCATCAGCACAAAGCTGGCTCGCGTCCCTCACACGCCTACTGCACAGCCACGCACGGATTACTTTACAAGCAAATGCCGAACATGATGTAATTTTATCCATCAATAAATTAACCGATGGAAAAACGTAGTTTATTGTGAGAAGTATTCGAAGTATTAACAAGGACGATGAGTAACCCCCCCCTGAAAACTCCAAGACGACTGTCATCGGTACACCTCTGGGCAGCCCCGGTGCCCCTTCCCGAACCGACGTGCACAACTGGCCCTGCGCCCCCTGGGCTCTGGCGGGGACCCTGCGCCCTGGACGGTCGGAGAGATGGCATTTCACGCCGCCCGCACCGTGCAGTGCACCTAGTGCCTCATCCAGCGAGCGGCCCCCTCCCAGCACAAGACCCGCCAGAGCCCCGTCAGTCCCTCTCCTGCGGTCGGGGCGGCCTGCGGACCAAGCAGGTGTCCGCGCCATGGGCTCAGCAGGCTGCCCCACGGAAGGGCGGCCAGGGTGGAATGCGACCTTGGGTCCGCCAAACCCGCAGGGGGCGCTCTCTCCCTACACTGGCCCACCCCCAGCCCTGCGGGCAGGGACGCCCACCCAGGGCCCAGGAGCCTCCCGGGAGGGCCTAGCGCAGGTGAAAGCGTCACTGCGCTGACAAGACCTAGGCCCCGTCAAAGCTGCTGGCCGAGGTGCTGGCACGTGGAGAAAGGAAGTGGCCCGCAGCCGTGGCCCCCACCCTCTGAGGCACCAGGGACCAGTTTCGTGGGAGACAGTTCTTCCACGGACTGGGGTGGGGGCGGTCTTGGGGTGACTCAGGCCCATCACACTGGAGCTCCCCTCCTGCTCCGAAGCCCAGTCCCTCTCAGGACCAGCCGGTTACCGGTCCGAGGCCCGAAGCTGGGGGACCCCCGTCCTGCGGGACCTGGGCCTGAAGGGCCCTGAGGCCGTGTGCAGGAGGGTCCAGGGCTCCTTCTAACAGGCACCCGGGATTGAAAGGACCGCCCACTGCCCTCTGGGCCTGGCACCGGGAGGGCACACCCAGGCCGCGTCTGTCAGAGACCAGGGCGCCCACTCGGTTGTGTGTTTGGAAACACAAGTGAACGTGCTTGGTGGCTGTGCAGATGGCCCACCAGCCCACTGGCCTGCGGGACCGGGTGGGGGAGGGGATGCTGCCGACTCGGACCCTCCCTCTCGCAGGGCCTCCCGCGCCAGCTTCCCAGTCCACCCGGGGATCCTCACGACCTTGGCATTCGCTTGGAATGTGGGAGCAGGGGGGCTCCACAGCTGCAGGCCGCGCGGCCTCTGGGGCGGACACGCCCTCTCCACCGCCCTCCCACCGCCCTGGCTCCCGCACTTCCAGGCGCCCGCGCTGAGCCGGTCCCTCCAGAGAAGCGCCACCTCCAGAACGGGCGTGGGAGCCTCTGCCGAGCCCGGAGCTCGGCCGTCACACCCAAAGACCACGCCTCTCGGATCTCGCCAGTTCACAGTCTCCGGCCCCTTCTCCCGGGGGTGTGAGGTGCACGTGTGTGCAGACAGAGTGGAGCCGAATGAGCGCACCGCACAGCTCACTCTGCACACAGACCTCCGGGCGGGCCCCACACTCTAGAAACAGAGCGACAGACATGCCACTCCAGACGCAGAGCGACCGCTCTGATCAGGACAGACGGACTGAGTTTGAACCCCGACTGTGGGAGAGCAACTTCTTCACGAAGTGAGAGGTAAAAATAAAGATAATGATTTCCCCCCAGGTTTCCTCATTTTTAAACAGCTTGTGGCAAAGTACCTTTTGCTTGAAGTTCGATCTTAATCCTCAGGCTTGGCCAAACTGACCCCTGGACGCGCGGCAAGGACGCGCAGCAAGGACACGCGTGTGCCAGTGACGCGGAGGCGCCACCTGCAGGTCAGGCCTCCCGGCTCCCTCGCTGTCCCGTGCCGCTCCCGACCGACCACACACGACTTACCTCCCCAAACCCGCCTTTTCCCAGGACTCTGTACTGTTTAAACGTTTTCTTTGTCACTGGTTGCCTAAGGGATAAAAAAGAAGTTTCAGGGCTCACATCACATCGTAACTTTAAAACAGAGAAGGCCACCCACCCTGTCCCAGGCCTGTGTGTGGGACCGCACTGGCCGAGGGGCACCCGGGACAGGGCCTCACCCCTGCTAGGCCGGGGCTCCCCCCTGGGGACAGTGCCCGGCAGCACCGCAGGCCCACTGAGCACCCGCGGGCCGGTGCAAGGTGGCTGGGCTGTGGTCACAGATGGGGACGACAGCCACCCACACTGTGCCCGTGCCCAGGCGTCTCCCCTGGGGCCCACCAACCCGCTGTGGGGGGGGGGGGGCGGCGCATCTACAGCGTGAGGTCCTTCAGAAAGGGACCCTCGGGGGAGACAGCCGACATCTCAAAAACATGTGAGAAATGGAACCGGGAAGACGGCCCCTCGGTAATAACTGTCCCAGTGAGCACTCGGCCATGGAGTCGGGGAAGAACACTGAGCGTGTGGCGCACATTTCTCGGTGACCCCAGCCGCCCAGTAGTGTGGACTCCTCCGTATTCCCACTGCTGCCCCCGTGAAGTTGCTGCTGCTTAAGGCAGGCAGACCAGCGCTGGCTGAACGAGAAACTGAGTATACGTATTCAGTAATTTCTGTATGGAAATGCCACACACAAACCAAGGTTTCCAATGGTATTTTGATAAGACGGGAAAATAGACATCAATCAGGGTATATTAGGAAAAGTCGCCGCTTGTTTTTATTGAATCTTAAGTTAGAACATACCTTTCCAGCCATTTCCACTGCAAGAATCGAGAAAAGTATGGGCTATCTTGGTATTCTTCAAACGGTTTCCCACTTAAGTAGCCGTGGACAGCCCTGGAAAACGATGGCACGCAGTCACGCACCTGCAATTCGCTGCAGCAGGAGGAGCCCGGTGTTAAGAGCACCAGTGAGCCCGGCGTGTGGAGAGCCGGGTGGCGCACACAGGTCAACACACTGAGCTCCGCACACGGACTCCCACAGCGGTTTCTCCCGAGACTGGTGAGAACAGGAAGGCAAGACTCCAAAGAGATGAAGTCGATTTACCCTCCCAAAGCCAGAGGGTCTTTTTATGTATGTGGACACCAGAGATGACGAGTTGACAGAAACAACCCACCGCCCTGGCCGGCGTGGCTCAGTTGGTTGGAGTACCTTCCCATGAACTGCAAGGCTGTGGGTTTGATTCCCCATCAGGGCACGTGCCTGGGTTACAGGTTCGGTCCCTGCTCAGGGGCCTATGAGAGGCAGCTGATCCATGTTTCTCTCCCTCTCTCTCAAACCAATAAGCAGGTCGTCGGGTAAGGACAGAGAAAGCTGCAGGCGGAGGATGGTGGCTTCCCGCAGCAGGAAAAGCTCTGGGTTCCATCCTCAGCTCAAAAAACTACCAGTAAAAAGACAATCGTTTAAAACACAGTCGAAGTGTGTGCGTGCACACTCACGTGCACAGGCATGCATGTCTCCGCGGGAACGTAAAGGTGTGTGAACAAACGAGAGAATGTGTAACCGCTAATAGTCACCAGGCAGAAGATGTCAGTGTGTGGCACAATCCTTTTTAACACCAAACAGAGCGCCCGACAAATGGTTTTCCGCTCCACAGTCCTTCAGATAATTACACGGTGAGCCACACCTCTTAGTTTTCATTTGTAATCAGGTTTTATCATGGAATAGAACTCTCCCCCGGGGAATGGTCACTGCCCAGAAGCGGCCCGCCCTTTGCTTTGCAACAGCTCGCTGGTTACTAAGTGTCTGGCGAAGGGGAGGCTGCGGCCCGAGTTTCACAGACAAGGAAAACATGTCCCGAGGCCGACAGGCTCCGGGGCCGCTCAGGGAAGCCTTCGGCAACAAAGCCTGTTTACAGCAATACCGAGACCCAATGCGCTTCCCTAAAACCTCCTTCTCACAGAGGGGTTCTCCCACCACGCAGCACGTGACAGCGTCACTGCTCTGAGAGTGGGGGGGTTTGTGCTGCCTTATTTTTAAAAAACGTGACCCACAGAGACAAAAGCTATTTGGGTCCTCCATAGTTGTTGTTTTTAATTAATTTGAAAGAGAGAGAGAGAGACATTGATGTGTTGCTCCAGTTCTTTATGCATTCACGGGCTGACCCTTCAGTGAGGCCTGACCTGGGATCGAACCCACAACCTTGACGTATCTGGATGAGGCTCCACCGGGCTGAACCACCTGGCCAGGGCCCCTTATCGTGTTATTCCCAGAACCTAGAGCAATGACAGGCACATAGTAGGTGCTCAATGTTTTCCAAAAAGAGTAACTAACACTCCAAGGCTCTGGCGTGGACATTGTCCTAGGGCATGTAAGAATGTAACTGTAAACCAGCAGGGTTTTCGTCTGTTTGACTCTTGGCTGTAACTTCAGCCCACAGGAGGAACTGTCACGGGGTGAAGTGCGTCTCCTAAAGACATGTGTCCTAAGCCCACACCTGCAGACCGGACTGCACTTGGAAGTGTAACCTGCTCAGATGAGGCCACGGAGGCCGCACTCCAAAGCCAAGGGCGCCCCTAGGTTCTGGCAGACACAGCCTGCAACGCCGCAGGCACGGGCACCCAGGGCCACCAGGTGGCGCCCGAGAGGCTCTGAGGGCACAGCCCTACGGCCATGAACTCAGACGGGCAGCTTGCCCGCTGGGAGACCACAGTTCTGTCGCTCTGCGCCACCCACTGGTGGTGCTTTGTCGTCGCCGTCGGCCCCCCCCACCCCCATCCTGGGGAAACGCCCATGGTGGCTGACACAGAGCAGGCTCTTGAGGAACGTCTGTCAAATGCGGGAGACACCCGAACGTCCTGCCTAAAACTGCAAAGGACTCTGTGTTTGGAGCCAGATACTTTCAGAAACATTCTTTCCTCCGTGGACGTCAGGAGGCTGGACTCGGCCAAAGTGCTCTGGCTTGGAGTTTCCTGTTCATATTGCAAAGGACTGGAGACAAGATTTTCTGGTGAGAGCCTGGGTCTGAAAAAACACTTTGTGGGGTCTTTTCCCCTTGGACACAAGCACCCTGGTGGGCCGAACAGAGAGGGCCAGGAGCCCGCCAAGCGATGCCCGTGCCCTCGCCCTCCCCCCTGACCCGCCCCGGCGTGGCAGCGACCTGTGTGCAAGGCCCGCTCTTCCCCTGCCTCTTCCTGTGACAGTGGCCGTTTCAGCTGGGAAAGCACCCCAGTGAGAACTAGCTGGCCCAACGCAGGCGAGCCATGGACGAGGGGGGCGCTGGCTTACCTGGTGCACTCCCCGAAGACCTCTTTGGGGGGCGTGCCCTTCAGCTGCAGCTGGCACTCTCTCACGGCATGCAGGGGCATCTGGGGTAGCAGGGCTGCTGAGCTCTTTGAGGCACGGACCAAAGATAGGACAGTCAGTGACCGCACAGCTCGGCGGCTGCGAGCAGGGCCTGAACTCACGGCGGCAGACAGAAGGGCACAAGGTGACAAGCGGGCGCCACCCTCGCTCTGGCCCAGGCCCATTTCCCCAGGTTCTGAGTGCTGCCTTTCCCCAGGACACCAGCACAGAGCCGGGGCAGGGTCTCCCGAGCTGGGGGACCCCTTGTTCACAGCGTCGCTCCCAACGGCCAAACTGGGCGCAGCCCAGTATCCGTTGGCAGATGGAAGGGTGAGCAAAATGCGGTCTGTCCATCTGATGGAGCATCACTCGACCTTGAACGGGAGGGAATTCCTACACCTGCTACAGCACGGCTGGGCCCTGGGGACCACACGCTGTGGGGACGCCATGGAAGGACAAGCTCTCTGCGACTCCACCTGCATGAGGTCCCCACAGCAGTCAGACTCTAGGACAGGAAGAGCAGTGGGAGCAGCGGGCAGGGCGGGGGTGCGGGGCTGGGGCTCCGTGGGACGGAGTGTCACTTCCGCGAGACGGTGGTGGTGGCGGTGGCTGTGCAACGTGAATGTACTTAACGACAAATGTTATGTTACGTGTTTTTACCACAATCAAAAATGCAAACACCCCAGCTGGTGTAGCTCAGTAGACTGAGCGCCAGGCTGTGAACCAAAGGGTCGCCGGTTCGATTCCCAGTCAGGGCACATGCCTGAGTTGCAGGCCAGGTCCCCAGTAGGGAGCACCTGAGAGGCAAACACACATGATGTTTCTCTCCCTCTCTCTCTCCATCCCTTCCCCCATGTCTAAAAATAAATAAATATTTTTTAAATGCACACACGCAAACGTAAACCTTCGTGAGTACACAAACTTGTCCCTCACGCAATGGCACGGAAACCATGTGCAGATGCTCCTCAGCTCCTGGGGGCCTGTGGCCCAGCAGACCTGTCCCGAACTCCAAGTCTTGTGCGTCAAAACGGCGTTTAACACAATGTCGCCAGGAGACACGGAGGCGTTTTGTCAATGTGACAGGACGTGAAAACACGACACGCCACGTGCAGGAGACACTGACCAACCAGCACACCGCAGAGTGGCCGCTGTTGGCCCCGTGACCGTGCGGCGCCGCAAGAGCCGGCGGAAGAGACCGAGAGGGGCGTCCGGTGCTACGCACTCCCGGCTGCCACCCCCGTAGGGTCGGGGGCTGCCTGCGGTCTCGTCCGTGCTGGCACCTCGCACCCACCGCGTCCTCTGGCAGCTGCCCCCTCGCCCGAGGTCGCCCGCTTGCCCGAGGTCGCCCGCCCCAGCAGACCACTCCGGCTGCGCTCCACAGGACAGACCCCGGGACCACTGGCTCACAGGAGACACGCAGTGCCAGTGCTGACATGGACGGCGAGACTGCCTCCAAAGAGGACGTAACGCTTCACACTCTCACCAACGTTACAGTCACTAACAGGACGTGTCCCTGCGGGCCAGCTGGCACGCTCTCAGCCTGCTCCGGGGCTGCTGGGAAACGCGACACGTAACAGGCCTGGTGACCGTCCAGCCTTGTTGAAAATCACCTGCGACCATGCTCAAGTGCACGTTGACCTTGTCGCGAAAAAGGAGACGTGCCGTCTGGGCCACCCAACAGGGGCAGGGCCGGATGTCACTGCAAAGCGTGGTTTTCTGTGGCTGTGGGCGGTTACTTCAACGCAAAGGCTGAACTCTGAACAGAAGTGCACCATGAGGGGACTCGCCTTTTCCCCCAAATAACATTACTGTTCTGACTAATAATGATCAGCCGCTGTCATTTAAATGATGTAAAAGCAGCGAGGCCTTTTCATGTGCCTGTTGTGTCCATCTCACAGCCCCGTGGGTGGACGAGGTGTGGGGAGCCACGGAACCTTCTGGTGCACCCACAGGGGAAGCGGGAGGCCGAGACTGCGCCGCGCTCTCGGGACTGCCCAGCAGCCCCTTCTATCACCCGGTGGCGAGGCCCCGATACGGACGGGATGGCCCCTCATCCCGCCACTCAAGACAAGAAGTCCGCTCACTCAGTTACTGGACAAATACACACTGACTGCTCCAGGCACAGGAGACAACTGAAAACAACATCTTCACAGAAGACAAAGCCCTCAAATTCCAAAGCTGTCTCAAAAGTACAGTTTTAAGAAATACTTCTTATTTTATTTATTTAAGAAATACCCTGGCTGGTGTGTCTCGGTGGATTGAGCGCAGGCCTGTGAATCAAAGTGTCTCCAGTTCGATTCCCAGTCAGGGCACAGGCCTGGGTGCAGGCCAGGTCCCCAGTAGGGGGCGCACGAGAGGCACCCACACAGTGACATTTCCTTTTCTTTCTCCCTTCCCTTCACTTTAAAAATAAAATCTTAAAAAGAAAAGGAATACTTCTCAGTGTTTTCCAGAGTCTGATTTCCCTTCCCGAGATCTCAATTTTCTGCAGCTAAATAGCAGGTTAATCCCATTAAGACTGTTTAATAATTGACTCCAAATAAGAGGTCCCTTCTTTGGTGACTGAGAAGAACTTTGTGTCAGAATAAGAACTCACCCCACACAAAGGAAAAGCAGTCCTTGTGCGGCAGCCCGGCCTCCTGCCGGACGTGATGAAAGGAAGACAGACTCTTCTTCTGCGGCCTCACGTTCAACAACAAGAACTACTTTCCAGAACAGGCAGCTGCTGGGGCTAATTCACCAAATGGACATCAAGAACTCGGAGGGAAAGCAAGCCCCCCGGTGGAGAGGAAGGGGTGGGTGAATTCTGAAGAAACAGACTTATTTTTCTGTGTTGAAATACGTACCGACTTCACTACCTTTTAAAAAGCAATGGTCTTCGTTGTTTAATTATATTTATTTTAGAGAGAGGGAGGGAGCGAGGCAGAGAGGGAGTGAAACACCGTGTGGGACGCAAACACCATCACTGCCTCGCACACGCACCGGACGGGCAGCCAGCGGGTGCCCCTTTGCTCTGTGGGGTGGCGCCCAGCCCACTGAGCCACGATGGCCAGGGCCACTGTTTAATTCTAAAAGTCCTTCCCGCGTTTCGGGTGCAGACCCCAGTGGACACTGGCTCTGCGGTGCCCTGTGACGCACCGGGCTTTTAACGGTGACCAAGTCCAGTTTCCTTGCTTGTCCCAGTCCCACCTAAGAAACCACGGTCTAGACCAAGGTCATGAAGATCCACTTAGGAGTGTCGCATCCAAGATTTATGCCTTAGAGATTTCCTCTGAGGGTTTTACAGCTCAGCTCTTCCATTTGAGATTTTTGTGTGTGTGTGGTGTAAGGTAGTGGTTGAACTCCATTCTTATTTTCAACACTATTTTTTATTTATAGATTTTATTTATTTTGGGGGAGAGGGGAAGGGAGGGAAACATCGATGTGTGGTTGCCTCTCAGCACACCCCAGACCTGTGCCCCGACTGGGACTCGATCAGCAATTGGCGACCCTGTGGCTCGCAGCCTGTGCTCAACCCGCTGAGCCACACCAGCCGGGGCTGAACTCCGTTCCTTCCCGTGTGGGTGTCCTGTTGTCCCTGCACCTTCCTCGGAAGGCGGTGCTTCCCCCACTGAGAGAGTTGCCCTGGCGCCTGGCTGGGAGCTGCCCAACTGCAGGTGTGGGAGCTGGTCCCTGCACTCTCAGTTCCAGCCCCTCCTCTGGGGACTGTCCTCAGGCCGAGACCACGTGGTTTCTGAGGTCAGCTTGTTAATTTCTGCACAAACGGGAGCTGCGCTTTTGCTGGGGGCTGTGAGGAGCCTGCAAACCAAGGTGGGGGTGCTGCCGCCTGGACAAGGAACAGCAAGGCCACTGACCCAGGACGCGGGGCGTCTTCCCAGCCCTTTCACTGCCCCTGCTCCTGTCAACCAGGCTTTCCCGTTTTTTGGTGCGCAGACGTCCTGCACTTCTTTCATTATATTAACTCCTGGTTTACTCTTTCCGGTAGTGCTGCGTGTGTGTGGGCGCCTGGGGTTTTCTACACCAAGTGCTGGTCTGAACGTGCCCCCTGGGAATTCTGGGGTTGCAATGCTACCCCCTCCCCCTGAAGGGGCAACAGGAGCATGCGGGCCTGGGGAGCCCTTGTGGAGGCGGCTCCAGAGAGCCCCCTCGTCTGTGTCCAAATGAGGACACGGCCGGAAGGCACCAGCCATGAGCCGGGGACAGGAACGTTGGTAAGAAAGATTTTAACGTACTTGCATATTTACCCAGCTAACTAACAGGGCTCTGCACTCTGATGCCGGATGTAAGTTATTTGTAAATCTTTGCACCAGGAGAAGACGCACCTCACTCATGAAGAACGAGTCTAAGATCCGCAGCCCACAGTCTCTCCGGTGCTCATCGGCAGCGACCTCGTACTCCGCCTGGCGGTGGAGACGACAGGGGACAAAATGTCAGTGGAGCTCCTTCACTGGCCTTGTGACGTTTCTCTTCCTCTGACTGGGGGACCCACTTGGTGGCCGAAGGGCCAGAGAGCAGCTCTGCTGTCCCAGCGTCTCCCTTGACAGCCGCGAGGGGGAAAGCCATTTCTTTTCTGTTTTTTTAAAAAGATTGTACTTATTTATTTTAGAGAGGGGGAGAGAGAAAGAAAGGGAGAGAAACATCCATGTGTGGTTGCCTCTCACACGCCCCACACCGGGGACCTGGCCCGCAACCCAGGCATGTGTCCTGACTGGGAATCGAACCGGCGACCCCACGGTTCGCAGGCCGGCACTCAGTCCATGAGCCACACCCTGCTTCTCCAGGCTGGATGGTGCAGTGGGCAGCCCGCCACCTCCCCACCCAGGCCCGGCCGCAGATGGCCGCTCACCACGGCGTCCAGGAGCTCAGTGCACCTCCTCAGGTCCTGCCTCGTGGCACAGAACTGCCGGAAGAGGAGTCTGCCCAGGGGCTGCTTGTCGCAGAGGCTGCCGTAGTCCTTCTCTGGGTGGAGGAAGGGGGGACACGCCCGTCATGATCCACACCCCGCCTTTTCTGCTCTCACCTGATTCGGTCAAAGTCGGAAATGCCA